TAGATAGATAGATAGATAGATAGATAGATAGATAGATAGATAGATAGATAGATAGGCAGGCAAAAAAGAAAAGACTAAAAGAAAAGGGAAACTTAAAGAGGAAAAATTCTTTTTTTTTTTGTTTGTGTTTTTGAGACTATGTTGTACTGTGTCATCTCTGCTAGCTTAGAACTGTCATGTACTACATAGCCCAAGTTGACCTCAAACTAAAAATCCTTTTGCCTTAGTTTCATGTGTGAAGCATGAGCCACCATACCTGATGAGAAGATTCTTAATGAGGCAGGCATAGTTTTTGAGAAGATTCTTAACTGACTCAAGAATTATAAAATGAAGAGCTAGAGAAATGGCTTTAAGGTTAAGAGAACTGCTCTTCCAGAGGACCTGGGTTCGATTTTCAGGACCCACGCAGCAGTTCATAACCATCTATAACTCTACTTCAAGGGTATCTAATGCTGTCTTCTGACCAAGCTGGGCAGCAGACACATATATAGTACAAAGCCATACAGGCAAAAACCCATTACATAAAATAACATTATTTTAAAAATATTTTTTTAATTATAAGATGTAGATTGATTGTTGCTTAGGGATAGATTCCCATGTTATTCAGATGACCTTCCATAGGCTGCATAAGGCTTTTACCGTCTCTCACGTGAAAGGAACAGATCCTAACCTTTGCCACTATGTATCAAGTACTAAACATTCTTTTCACTTTAGTAACTCATTTAGTCTCCAAGAATTTTGGTAGTTTCCTTGACACATGCAGGCACATGCACAGTCACTATGTAAACCAGGCTGGCCTTGAACTTGGGGATCTGCCTGCCCGTGCTTCCCAAGCGCTGTGATTAAAGGTATGCGCCATTATGCCCAGTTCCTTAATACTTACATTTAACATCTCTTAAACTGTTGAGTCTTAACAATACTGTTAAGATTCATTTAATGTTTCTCTTCTTTATTTTTTTAAAAACATTAAATTGATATGCGTATGGTTGGAATATATTCAACCCTAGTTTATAATCTGTTTACTGCGTATAAATCTGCCTTTTAAACTATGCTTCTAGGTACCCTAGAAAAAGGAATAGTTTGATAGAGCTTCCTGATGACTACAGCTGTCTTCTAAATCAAGCTTCTCATTTTAGGTAAGAAGGAAAGATGTGGGGTGGAGGGAGCACACAGTAGCTTTCCTGAGCAAGCCCTTTCCTGAGCTTGCATTTGGCCTACCCTACAACCGACGGACGTGTGGAAAAGTGGGCAGTGAAGTGTCTAGCGAGGTGGTTAGGGTGGTCACGGTGCAGCCACCCAGCCTGTTGAGACCCACGTGGGAGGGAGGAGAGAACATCCCCTGCAAGTCTTGTGAGCCCACGCGTGCCCACAGCTTCTGGGTGTGGCTTACCCGTGCAAGAGGTGACCGCTGTGCCCACTCACTGCGTTACGTTCCCTTCAAACCACACACAAGCATTCAGTTCTGTGTGCACAGAATTGACAGGGCTGCACATCCCCTTCAGCTTGCACTACCTTTCTACTATCCAAACTTTTCACCACTCCAAAGGACTTAGAACCACTAATCCCTTTCCATGCTCAGGTCTTCTGTCTCCTCATCGCTGTAGTCTGCTTTCTGTCTCTGTGAATGCAGCTGTGTAGATACATCATCACAGAATAAGAATCTTTGCCTTCTTTCACTCAGTATGTTTTTTGTGTTTTGTTTTTTTGTTTTTCTCTGTGTAGCCCTGGCTATCCCGGAACTTACTCTGTAGACCAGGCTGGCCTCGAACTCAGAGATCCTCCTGCTTCCGCCTCCCCAGTGCTAGCATTAAAGGTGTGCGATACCACCACCCGTCTCCACATATAGTGGCATGTGGCTCCTTTTTTTCACTCAGTATGTTTTTTATGCTTATCCAAGTTTGCTTCTGTTTTGGTTAATATCCCATTATGTGTATAGACCACAGTGGTTTATGTCTTCTTCCATTCACTGACACTCACATATATGATGGGGTTGTTTCTTCCTTTTAGCTATTATGAATAATGTTACTATAAACATCCATGTACAAGCTGCTGAATGAATATACATTTTTCATTTCATTTGGGTACAGGGTTAGATTTTTAATTAGGTCATGTTTGACTTTTTAGTGTCAAACCCTTTTATACACACTGGGTCACTTTACAATCTTGCCAGCAATGTATGGGACATAATTATCAGCCCCTCAGTGAACTTCCAAATAAATCTGTATATAAAATCCTAGGTTTTGGAGGACAGGATCCCTATTGTCTGTCCTGGTACAAATAAGCCACACCGGAAATATGAGCTGCATCTTCATGTCTTCTGTGCTGAGTGAAGGAATAAGGAATGGGTTGATACAAAGAATGCAAACAATGAGCTTGGTATGGTGCTAAATGCCTTTAGTCCCAGCACTCAGGTGAAGGCAAGCAGGTCATTCTGAGTTTGAGTCCACCTTGGGCTATGGACATTTGTTTGTTTGTTTTGGTTCTTTGAGACAGGGGTTCTCTGTGTAGTCTTGGCTATCCTTGATTCACTTTATAGACTCACAGAGATCCTCCTGCCTCTGCCTCTGCCTCCCTGAGTGTTGGCACTACAGGCCTGTGCCACCGCACCTGGCTGAGGTATAGACTCATGTTTCAACCTTGATAAAACTATCATAGCAGTTGTGGTTGAACTCTTCCTGCATAATGCAGTTTTTAAGCGATTGCACGCTCCCAAAGCCATGTTACTCCAACATTGTGAGCACACACGACTACACCATTATAGCAGCAGCAGCTGTTGATTGGCCACATCCGACGCAGGCTGGGTTCTAGGAATGAACCTCAGTATAAGGCCTTTTAGCAAATTGTCACAAGACTATATATTCAACAATGACTTTTCTTACTATAGCTTAATCAGAGGTAGTGTTTTAAAAATGTTTTGTGCTGCTGAAGCTTAACCCTGCTGAAGCTTAAGCCCAAGGCCTTAGACATACTAAACATACATAATGTCATTAAACTTCATCTAAGCTCAATCAACACTTTTGCATATCACTATATTCTGCTATTCTTTATTCTTTGAAAATTTCATGCATGTATACGATGTGCTCTGATCATATCTACTCTCCACTACTCTTCTCCAATTTCCTCGGGTCTCTCTGAACACATTTCCCTCCAAACTGGACACTCTCTCACTGTTTTTTACCTCACAGAGGCCTATTAGTGCCACTGATATGGGTGTGGATGTTGGGGATAGGCAACTTACTAGTGGCTCCACCCACCCCCCAGTGCCAAGAGAGGTGATCCCTAGCAGCCACCAGTTTCCAATAACTCCTCAGTTGCGGCCTGAGTAGCCCCTCCTTACTCCATGCTGGATTTTATTTGTATCTTATGTGCATGAGTGTTTTGGCTGCATGTATGTATGTGTACCATGTACATGCCTAGTGTCCATGGATACCAGAAGAGTGCCTTGGATCCCTGGAACTAGAGTTACAGATGGTCGTGAGCCACCATGTGGGTGCTAGAAATTGAACCTGGGTCCTCTCTGCAAGAGTAGCAAGTGCTTTCAACCACTGAGCTGACTCCAGCCTCATGTTGGAATGTTTAACTAGCTTGATCTTGTGCAGGTAATGACAGCTGCCATATGTTTATGTACACAGCAGCCATGCCAAGATCAGGAGACAGCACTGTAGCTGACCTTTACTGCTTTGTGGGTTCTTCTTTTGCCCGCCCTTTATCCTCTTGGTGTCACCCCTTAACACTAGGTAGGAGAGAAATAAAGTTAGAGAGGAGAGAAGAATCAGGAAAATCCCTGAGGATCCTTTAAAAGGCCAGGCACACCAGATAAGTCACACTACATGGGATTCCACAGTGCTTGTTGGGGGAAGGTTAATGTGCATGCACCGTCTGTGTCTGGGTCATTTCAGTTGCTTATTCCTGCCATGTTGAGCAGTTCTAGGTATTAACAACTACCCTCTACAGTAATAAACTTCTCGCACCAAATACAGGTCAGGCACAGGAGGCTCTCAGGCATAGGCAAGCTTAAGCTGGAGACACTGGGGTCCATCACTTGTTGCAGGAGGTTGAGCTAGAGCAAAATTCCTGATCAATAGAGCCTGGCTCAGGACGCTGTGCTGACTGGGCATCTGAAACAAGATTCTTTGGCATAGGCCTGCTCTAAGTGGGCCTAAGTCAGAATTTGTTTTGTTTTTATTTGTTTTTGAGACAGGGTTTCTCTGTGTAGCTCAGCTGTCCTGGACTTGCTTTATTATACCAGCCTGGCCTTGAACTCACAGAGATCCGCCTGCCTCTGACTCCCCGAGTGCTGGGATTATTGAGCCCAACCAGGAATTTTTTTAAAGAAGTTATTATTTGTTAATGTATGTATATATGCCACATGTATGCAAATGTCCATGGAGGCCAGAAGAAGGCATCAGATCCTTTGGAGTTGTAGTTATAGGCAGTTGTGAGGTGCTAGAATGAACTCAGATTCTCTGGAAGAACAGAAAGCTCACTTAACTATTGAGCCATCTCCCTAGCCCCTTAATCAATTTTTTTAGAGTCCCCTTAAGGTAAAGTTAATGAGCACTCATCTAATTAAATGTCCTTTTCTTTTAGTAGCTCTCTTTGCTGAGTAGGGTGAGTGATGGAAACATGCTTTAATGCTAAGTAGATATGTGATCTAGTTCTTGTTTTTCTAACACAATGAATGTATCTTCCCCTATTGAGGTGTCCACGGTCCGCAGATGATGAGCGAAAGCATCCTGTCCTCTGTCTTTTCTGTGGGGCCATCCTGTGTTCTCAGAACATCTGTTGCCAAGAAATAGTGAACGGGGAAGAGGTCGGAGCTTGTGTTTTTCATGCGCTTCATTGTGGTGCTGGAGTCTGCATTTTCCTCAAGTGAGTATGGAGTCATCTGGAAGCTTGCTAAAGGTGTCAGCTGAAAATGTACATCCAGTCAGTGTGTCAGTAGAATAGTAGTTCTTTAAAAAATAAGATGGTTTATATTCCCTTCATTGTAGAAAAATTTTAAATGGTATAGACTTTTTATCAGTGTAATATTCGGTTATAATGGAAAAGCTTGAAGTCTTAAAACTTACACACATACCGTATGTGTAAATTATTACTCTCAAGCTCTCTTATTTATTTTTATTTAGGTTTTTCAAGACAGGATTTCTTGGTGTAACCCAGGCTGGCCTAGAACGCTCAGAGCTGTCTGTTTCTGCCTCTGGAGTGTTAGGGTTAAAGGCATATGTCACCATGCCCATCTGTTTATTTTTGAGACAAGTCTCTGTATAGACCAAGCTGGCCTTGAACCCCCAGAGATCATGTCTCCCAAGTGCCTTCTCACCCAAGGTTGTCTTTTGGATGTTTTTATTTTCTTCTTTGAATAAAAGATTGACTACTTAGGACAATAGTGATAAATGTTTATGAAAGAAGATAGCTTTCATGAGAGAAAATTCAAAGTTGATTTCTATGCTTTTCCTTTCCATTCTCCCTGTGAAATTCAGTTTTTTTTTTTTTTTAATATAAACCAATAAGTCTTATTAACTGTGAGATATATTATCATTGGTTAAAGGCAGCCTTTGTAACGAGAGGAAAGAATGGCATAGAGGCCAAACTCAAATACCTGTCTGCTCCTAGAGATGCCACAGGAATAAGTCCACCTATCCCAACTGTGTATCTATAATTTCTCATTGTGGTACTTAAGCATTTCTCTGCTTAAGCATCTCAAGTGCCCTCAAAGTGCTATTGGAAGCTGGCTTGACCAGAAAAGCTTTTAACGCTTCCTTGGTTGACAGTGCTAGACTGGAGGATGCTCTGCCCTTCCTTGAATCCCTCTTCTGTCTAGGTGGGAAGTTAGGAAAAGGCAGAAACAGCTCCAGCCACATTTCTCCAGGCCCCTATGGCTTGCATAAGACAGCCACCTTTTCAGTATATCCAACCAGAATTACTGATTTCCCTTATCTCTAGATCCATGGTCCTTTTCTATTGCATCAAGTAAAAAGTAAATCAGCAGTGTAGAAAAAGCAGTTTAGTGCTGGGCAGTGTTGATTCACGCCTTTTGTCCCAGCACTCAGGAAGCAGAGGCAGGTGGATCTCTTAGGCCAAGGCCAACTTGGTCTACAGAGCAAATTCCAGGACAGCCAGGGCTACACAGAGAAACCTTGCCTCCAAAACAAACAAACAAACAAACACTACGAGCCAAACAGAGAAACCACAGCTTAGTGTATTCATCCATGGCTGTATTGCCTTTTTATTGATTTTTTAAATAGATACTAGGCATGTTCTTTCTTTAGCTTAACTTTGATTTGATGTCTATCATCTACATATATGCATCTAACAGTGTTTCCTGCCATTTGTTCTGTTGTTTAGAATCAGAGAATGTAGAGTGGTCCTGGTGGAAGGAAAGGCCAGAGGCTGTGCCTACCCAGCTCCTTACTTAGATGAATATGGAGAAACAGACCCAGGGCTAAAGTAAGTTTTGTTTTGGTTTTTTGTTTTGTTTGTTTGTTTTTAAGACTTATTTATTTATTTTATGTACAATGTTCTGTCTGCATGTACATCTGCGCATCAGAAGAGGGCACCAGATCTCATTATAGATATTGGTGTGAGCCATTATGTGGTTTCTGGGAACTGAACTCAGGGCCTTTGGAAGAGCAGCCAGTGCTCTCAACCGCTGAGCCATCTCTCCGAAGATTCAAAAATTTTAAATTAATGCTAAACAATGTGAAAGTTGACAAGGAGCTGAGACACTTGATGTTCCGGGGGCTGGGATGCCCCTTACCTCCGTCACTGTGCTCAACAAGACTTCAGGCTTTTTGGGTTAGCTGGCACAGTGCTGTAGACTGTGTGACCGCAGAATGGAAACATGGTTACTTAAACATTTGCTGAGCCTGGTATGATGCACTTCTATATGTAGTTCACTACCTGGGAGGATGAACCAGGATGGTCATTGGAGCAGAGCAGTTCAGACCCAGCCTGGGCACTGCAACAAGACACCTCTTCCCTGAGTAAAAAACATAAACATGAAAATGTTTGCTAAGCATGGGGAAAGTGAGTCATTGGGATGGTTATAAAACAAAGTATTTCTGAGCAGCAGAACATAATCTAAGGGCTTAATGTTATGCCTCAAACCTAACCTCCACACAAAACCATAAACTGAAGCTGGTCAAACTGTGAGGACAGAGAGCCATTAGAGCCCTGTTCAGCTAGCCACCAGGAAAGACCAGAGTTGCCTTAAGTTAGACACCTGTTTAAATGAGGTCTCATTATGTTTGTTGTGTTTGAGGCCTAATTTCCAAATAGTCAGAGAGTACATTTCTGCTTCCTAATGGTGTGCCGAGTTCTTAGTAATGAGTGTGAAGAGTGCCCCGTTTCTAAGCCTGTCCTTGTGCTTGTGCCCACAGCTGCAGTGATACCTTTGTTGTGTATACTGGTTTAAGACTAGAGGTTTCACTGTTCTTGATTCAAGTCGAAATGTTTTTTTTTGTTTTTTGGTTTTTTTTTCCTGAAGGAGAGGAAACCCACTTCATTTATCTCGGGAGCGCTATCGGAAGCTACATTTGGTCTGGCAACAGCACTGCATTATCGAAGAGATTGCCCGGAGCCAGGAGACTAATCAGATGCTATTTGGATTCAACTGGCAGTTACTCTGAGCTCCGGCTCTGCCTCAAATCAATCATGAGTGACATCAGTAATAAAGACTGATCTAAAATTCTAGAGAACTTTCTGAGGACGGGGACATATTAGAGGGTCCTTTGATCCATGTCCAGATTCACATACATTAATAAAATATTCCTTAATGGAATATTGCTTTCAGTTATCAAACATAAGCTTCAAGGGAAAAACAAGACATAGATTAATCTGTTTTATGTTCTAGAACACTAAAGAAATGCTTGTTCACCCAAGTGTCTATTTCTGCTAATATTTCCAGAAAACTCATTTCCCTTCATAACTGTCCTATTTCATTTCATGCCATCCATATTATGAATGAAGTCACATCAAGCATTTGTGGACATTTTTACATATGGTGAAAGTCTCTGCACTTTGGTATTTGGCATTTTCCTGAGTGTAATTCAGCTTGCGTTAGATCTCTGTCAGAAGCTTATCACCTGTGGTGGTCTAAAGAAGAATTGCACAACTATGCAGTATCTTTCAACTAGAACGATTTCAAAAATGTAAACAACTTTCTTCTTTAAGGAAATGTCCTTGTTGAACCCCTGATGGCTTCAGTCACAAACAGATCTAAGTCTCTTTATAGACAGAGTGTGAGCTCTGCTGGTCTGCGAAGCACCCTTCCGATGTCGACCTCAAGGAGAGTTAGGAGAATGTGCCCATTATGCATTCCTTATACAAAAAGGCTGTTATCCTCTCCTCTTACCCGCTTTGTTTCCAAAGGCAGGTTTCTACAGTGAGATCTCCTGTCTCTGTGGCCCCATCCTATTTGACTCTCAGAAAACTCTTGCTCTTCTGAGGCAAACTCTTTGTAAAATGAGAATCAGAAAATTGCCCCAGTGAATGGTCATAAAAGCTGAAATTAGAACAGTCGTGTTTAGGCCAGTTCTACAACCTTTTATGGCTTGTAAAAGACAGATCCTTGATTAGATGTCTGTGTGAAACTTTTCATAAACCATGGCTATGGTTAATATAAACAGCCAAAAAAAAAAAAAAAAAAAAAAAAAAGCCATGTAATCAGGTGTGTGTCCTGTTATAACCTGCTGTGGTTGAGCCATCTTACTTATGAATAAGACAGCTCTCTAGAGTATGTGCATAGGCTTCTTGGTTCTTGGTTTTAACCTTTTCTATCAAGAATGTGTGAGTTAACTGCAGAGCATAGATCAGTTGGTACTTACTTTAGCTTCTGTTATTGGGTAATCTTAGCAGCTGAAAGATAGATATGTTTGAAGATTGTATTTTCTTTTGCCCTTGGCTGCTGCCGCCATGTATGTGTATAAGTGTTTTTCTACCTTCTGTTCGGTGAAGGCAAGAAAGTGAAAATACATGTGCTAAGTGATCAGTGAAGCTCATTTGCGGCTAGATTTGTTGTTATTTTTATAGAATGAAAAGTGAGTTTTGCAGTAAGGGATTGGTATGAGCAGGCACCAAAATCACAATCATGATTTTCTACTATAATTACCATTCAGAAGAAATCTGGAACTAGATGAAACTATAATGAACAGTTCACAGCAATTATGAGAGACGAAGATCAGAAAATTCATTATTTGGCTTGTGTGATTTGCCGTATTATTAAGTGATTTGAACATTGCCCTTTTTTTTTTTTACATAATTTTTTGGAGGGATTGTTTAGCTCTAAAGCCTGGGCTAGAATAGGCAACAGAAGAGGCTCCTTTCTGCCTTAGTCATCTGGCCCCCATTTGGCAAGGATAAAGACTTTATTTTTAGCCTTCTTAGATTCAATTTGTAAGCCCTGGAGCTAAGCTTTCAAGCTGCCAGGAGGACTAGCTAGCACTGGCCAAAGAACCTAATTCATCACTGAGTTCTGTTTGTGGAGATTGAAGTTTCTACACTGGAGGTGGACTTAGGCCATAGTGTGCCCCAGTCTGAGGAATTTTTAATGGTATTCATCATGCAAAGGATTCAAGTCTGCTTATGAAGTTTACTTAAGCAACCAAGTCAAAGAATTGGTTCAGTAAGATGGCTCTGACTGTGTGTTCCTAATATTGGCAAGGAACTGGCAAGGATTTTAATAATACAGTAAAGGAAAAACATGTCTGTATAATTAATTTATTATGTTAGTGTATGGGCTGTGAGTTCACCTTTTCGTGGTCATTTGTCATTTCATAACAACTATGCATTTTGGTTCACTGTGATGATGATCTATATTTAGTGACTGCGACATGTTTATACCACTGATTCAAATTCCATTCATGAAGAAGTTATACAAATGATGCATATATTGATATCTTTTATTGCAAAAAAAATGTAAATTTAAAACTTGTATAATGTTCTTGTGCTTTTTGAAATAAAATATCTTATTGTGTATATTTAAAAAGAAAAAAGGGACTTCTCATGTTTGGGGATTTGGGTTTGAAGTATAAAAATCTTACCTAGAAAGGAGCTCTAGGTAAAAGTATGTCAGCCCAGCAATTGTTTATTTGTTTTTGTTTTAGGCAGAGTCTTTTGGGGCCCAAGCTGGGCTCAAACTCATGACACAGCTGAGGCTGGCCTTGAACTCTCTGCTTCCATCTCCCAAGTACTGGATTCCAGGTATATGTCATCATACCCAGACAGATTTTTAGGGTTAATGGGTCTCCAAACTTTTTGACTGTACATTTCATCACCACATATAGATTTATATATATTATTTTCATGTAGTGTTCCATGCCTACATTAAGCACATTTCATGACATAGCACAAAACCAGGTTTTTAAATCAACCAAGTTTACCCCATTATCATAATCAAGCTCTCCAAGGTATAAAATATAAAGATTTCAAAGCTAGGCACAGTGGTACACGCCTGTAATCCCATCACTCTGGGAGGCAGAGGCAGGCAGATCTCTGAGTTCAAGGCCACCCTGTTCTACAAAGCAAGTCCAGGACAGCCAAGGCTACACAGAGAAACCCTTTCTCAAAAAAAAAAAAAGTAAAATATAAAGATTGTCAAAGCTTCAAGAGAAAGGAAACAAGCATAAGAGAGTGGCTTAGTTCACCTGATGGCAAACTTCTCAGCAGAAATCTTGCAAGCAAAGTGAAAGTAGCATAAGATACACACAATACTGACAGAAAAGAAACCAGCCAAGAATACTGTACCTAGAAAAGCTAACCTTCAGGACTGAAAGAGAAAAGGACATCCAAATAAAAGCTAAGAGAATCTTTTTCTTCCAGAGCTCCCCTACAAGAAATGATAAAGGGGGCTTGGAACAGAAAGACTTTGGGGTTAAGAGTATATAGGTCTTTTCTAGGTTCTTTGTTTTTCCATATGAAATTGAGAATTGGAAAAAACAAAAAAAAAACAAAAAACCTAGAATTGCTAAAAGAATCCTGTACAGAGGACAGGAGCTCCACAAGGACCAAATATATCTGGGCACAGGGGTCTTATATGAGACTGTTTCTCCAGTATATATCCATGTATGGATATAACCTAGAACCTCTGCTCGGATGTAGCCCATGGTAGCTCAGTACCCAAGTGTGTTTCCTAGTAAGAGGAACAGGGACTATTTCTGACATGAACTCAATGACGGGCTCTTTGACCTCCCCACCCTGCAAGGGAGGAGCAGCCCTGCTAGGCAACAGAGGAGGACTTTGCAGCCAGTCCTAAAGATACTTAATAAACCAGGGTCAGATGAAAGGGGAGGAGGTCCTCCCCTATCAGTGGACTTGGAAAGGGGCAGGGAGGAGATGAGGGAGGGAGGGAATGAGGGAGTGGGATACAGCTGGGATACAAAGTTAATAAAATATAACTAATAATAAATAAACATTCAAATAAAAAAAATCCTGTACAATAAAAGATCTTCTGGAGATATGGTCATCCCTAATCTTAAGATGTACTATAGAACAACAGTAATGAAAACTGCATGGTACTGGCATAAAAACAGAATGGTGGATCAATGGAATCTAATGGAAGACCCAGAACCCACATACCTACAGATACCTGTTTTTTGACAAAGAAGGCAAAATGATACAATGGAAGAAAGATAGCATCTTCAACAAATGGTGTAGGTCTAACTGGATATCTACACGTAGAAAAATGCAAATAGATCCATATTTATCACCCTGCACAAAACTAAAGTCCAAGTGGATCAACTACCTCAACATAAAACCAGACACACTAAACCTGTTAGAAGAAAAAGTGGGGAAGAGCCTGAAATTCATTGGTACAGGAGACAACTTCCTGAACAGAACACCAACAGCACAGACTCTAAGATCAACAATTAATAAATGGGACCTCATGAAACTGAAAAACTTCTGTAATGCAAAGGACATTGTCATCAAAACAACAGCCTACAGACTGGGAAAGGATCTTTACCAACCCAATATCTGATAGAGGGCTAATATCCAGAATATATAAAGAACTCAGGAAGTTAAACACCCCAAAAAAACAAGTAATCCAATTAAAACTGGCATACAGAACTAAGCAGAATTCTCAATAGAGGAATATAGAATAGCAGAGAAACAAATGTTCAATGTCCTTAGTCATCGGGGAAATGCAAATCAAAACAACCCTGAGATTTCACCTTACATCCATCAGAATGGCTAAGATCAAAAACTCAAGTGACAACACATGCTGGAGAGGATCTGAAAAAAGGGGAACCCTCCTCCATTGCTGGTGGGAATGTAAACTTGTGCAACCACTTTGGAAATCAATCTGGCACTTTTTCAGACAACTAGGAATAATGCTACTCCAAGATCCAGCTATACCACTCCTAGGCATATATCCAAAAGATGCTCAAGTACACAAGGACATTTGCTCAATCATGTTTGTGGCAGCTTTATTTGTAATAGCCAGAATCTGGAAACAACCTAGATGTCCCTCAACGGAGGAATGGATACAGAAATTATGGTACATTGACACAATGGAATACTACTCAGCAATTAAAGACAAGGAAATCATGAAATTTCAGGCAAATAGTGGGATCTAGAAAAGATCATCCTGAGTGAGAACCCAGAAGCAGAAAGACATACATGGTATATACTTACTTAAAGTGGATATTAGACATATAATATAGGATAAACATACTAAAATCTGTACTACTAAAGAAGCTAAACAAGGAGGATGATCCTGGGTAAGATGCTCAATCTTCATTCTATAGGGCAAACAGGATAGACATCAGAAGCTAGAGAAGACAGGGAATGGAGGAAGACAGGAGCCTGCCACAGATGGCCTCTGAAAGACTCTACCCATCAGGGTATTGAAGTAGATGCTGAGACGCATAGCCAAACTTTGGGCAGAGTGCAGGGAATCTTATGGAAGAAGGGGAAGATAGAAAGACCTGGAGGGAACAGGAGTTCCACAAGGAGAACAACAGAGCCAAAAAACCTGGGCCCAGATGGCCCTACAGAAGCAGATACTCCAACCAAAGAACATTCATGGAGAGGACCTAATACCCCTGCTCAGATGTAGCCTGTGGCAGCTCAGTCTCCAAGTGGGTTCTCTATTAAGGGGATCGGGGGCTGTCTCTGCCATGAAATCAGTGACCAGCTCTTTGATCACCTCCCCCTGGTGGGTGCAACATTGCCAGGCCACAGAGAAAGATGATGCAGCCAGTCCTGATGCGATTTGATAGGCGAGGGTTAGATAGAAGAGGTGGAAGTCCTCCCCTATCAGTGGAGTAGAGAAGAGGCAGAGGGAAAGAAGGGGGTGGGAGTGGGACTGGGAGGAGATGAGGGAGCTACAGTGGGATACAAAGTGAAGAGATTGTCATAATAATAAAAGAGCATACAGGTCAGGTAGACCACTTGCCTAGTGTGTGAAGGATCCTGGGTAAGGTATTAGCTCACAGGCAAGAGTGACCGTACAGATAAATTCAGAATGTTGTAGTACTGTAAAACACAGTATGTCCACCACTATTAACCAGTGAAAACAAAAACCCTACAAGCCAAGAACAGTGCAAGTGGGTGGTTTGTGTCCCGCAGTCTCAACTACACTGGAGTCTGAGGCAGAAGGATTGCTTGGGCCTAGAAGTTTGGAGACCAGCCTGCATAACATATGCATATTTCTGAAAAGAAGATAATGCGTTGATAGATGAAGAGATAGTGTCTTTTCTATTGCTGTGATAAAAGCACTGACAAAAGCCACTGCAGAAATTGTTTATTTGGCTCACAGTTCAGAGCAGCAGGATCTCAAGCAGCTGGTCACATTGTATCTGCAGGAAGCACAGGAGGGACTAATTCTTGTGTTTTGTCCCTCTTTACACAGGCTAGTATTTCATTGGGAGGCAATGGTAGCCCCACAGAGAATAGGTCTTCCTGTTTCAAATCAGCTGATCAAGACAATCTCCTAGCAGGCAGTGGTGGTACACACCTTTAATCCCAGCATTCAGAAGGCAGAGGCAGGAGGATTTCTACTAATATGAGGGGAGCGTGGTCTACAGATCCAGTTTGATCAGCTCCCCCTGGTGGGTGCAACATTGCCAGGCCACACAGCCAAGGCTACACAGAGAAACCCTGTCTCGAGAAACAAAAAAGGCAATTGCCCAAAAGCTCATCTCCCAGGTGATTTTAGATCTAGTCAAGCTGACAACTGAAATAAACTATCCCAGACAAATAATACAGAAAGACAAATTCACAGCATGCGAGTGTTGGCTTTGTTGTTTAGTGTATTCCCTCTCATCGTGATATGCTACTATCATTCAGGACTGCTTATCATAATCAAACTCTGTGAGGGTTTCGTTGTTGTTCAGCCTCATGGTAATGACAAAACAGAAATCTAAAGTAGACAAACAGAAAATGGAAATAAGTAATCAGAACGCGACTGGAGTAAATCACTTAGCCAGAAGGAAGAGTCTAAGAGAGAAAGAAAGGAATTCCAAACCGGAAGGTAAGTTACATAATTGCTGTAAGGCCTTACCATCAGATAGCTGACTTGAATGAGCTGAAATGAACTCTACAATTACAAAACACAGAGCCATTAAATAAAATGAAAAAAAGAAAAAAAAAAACTATACCCAAGTTATGTTGCTTACAAGGAAGTTATTTCACCTTTAATAGGACACCAGGGCGATGGCTGAACTGGAAAAGGAACTTGCCACTAAGCCTGACAATCTGAGCTTCATCCCCAGATCCCACATGGTACAGAAATGATTAAGGCAGAAAAGACCAATTATTAAATGCTGATCTGGTCATTTACTTAAAGTGCTGCTTGTCGTGCCTCTTTACCAAGCGTGACTTCACTTCCTACCTGAAACAGAACGACCTCAAGAAATAGCTGAAACAATGGGTTGCCCTTAACAAGCTGCTGACTGCAACACAGGCTTCTGTATAATCTTGCTTGCTTGCCAGCTCCGCCTTGTGGTTTTAGAATATAAAATGAGAATGCAAACTAGATCCAAGACC